ACACACACACACACACACACACACACACACACAAACACACAAAGAATTACAGCAATTATTACAGTACGCCCACCTGTTTCATGGTGTAGATTTATTCCACTTCACTGTCTGACATTAAAGGCTAAGAAAGAGAAGTTGAAAATAACAGGTGGAGAGAGTCATGGGTATTGTAATCTGAGAAAGAGAAAGGGAGACGAAAGAGAAAGATGGGTCTCCTACCACACCGAGGATCCTGGTCGAGTGACATGCGGGCGTCTCCTGGCAGTGGAGGCTTTCTTTTGGAGAAACTGATAATTCTTGTGATCTTTCTTCCTGCAGCTCGGCTTACGGTGCCCGTTAGCTCTGACAGTGCACCTCGCTTGGGTTTACCTGTAAACACACGTTTGATGGGTCAATGAAATAAATGTAAGATATGTGTGGTCTACAGACACACAATCTGCTGGAATTAGGCCAAAGCTAATAAAGACTTTCACTGGTCCAAGCAATGATAATCACAAACAATCCACATCCTGCATAAAGATTTCCTGCTTGTTAATAGAGCACCTGTGACAAAGCTCAGGAAAAAAAAGATGCGTGAGAGAGAGAAAGGGAGGGAAAGAGAGAAACAAGATTTTTACATTCAGAAGGAATTGTGAGTGTTTCTTGCAACTAAAAACTTGCCAATGATATTGATTTTTTGAGTCGTTCGTTGCGAGGGTGTTGCTATGCAGTTTTTAAGGGGTTATGGGTGTGAGGGAGTTGCTTTGTGGTTTCTAAGGCTTTCTGAGTTGTTGTGTTGTTGATGAGGTGCTCTGAGTAGTTTTTAATATGGTGCTATGTGGTTGCCAGGGTGTTGCTATGCAGATTCTAAGGTGTTGGGTATTTTTTTTCTCGCAGTGAAGGAGTTGCTTTGTGGTTTCTAAGGCTTTCTGAGTTGTTGTGTTGTTGATTAGGTGTTCTGAGTGGTTTTTAATGTGTGTCCTGTGTTGCTAGGGTGTTTTGGGTGGTTGCCAGGGTGTTGCTACGCAGCTGCTAAGGTGTTCTGGGTGGTTATTCACATTGCTATGTGTTTGCTAGTGTGTTTTGGGTGGTATCCAGGGTGCTGCTATGCAGTTCATATGTTTAACAAAAACACTGCAGGATGAATACTTTTACTTGACTTTGTACTTTGGAGTAAACTACTAGTAATGAGAAAGACAGAAGAACTGTAAGTCAGGTTAGAAAAAAACCCTGAAAATAAATCAAAGTCAAAGGTGTAATCAGAGAAGAATAAACTGAAGATCTCACCATTTTCCCGTCCATCGCGAGCACTTTCTCCACTTGGCATACTGTCAGAATCTGAGGTTTGCTTCTCTGAAGAGCACCACTACAGGGACAAAAAGTACTTAACAAGGTTTTGGACATGTACAATTGGCAATAATATGATTTTAAAATTATTTTTTTGCAAGGAAAAGGTCATGAGGTATTCGTCTTACGTGTAACAGAATTATTTTCCTAACCAACTCTAGTCACAATGAGACCACCTTTTACAAAAAGCATATCCCCAAAAGTTCCTCCAATCTATCATTGGCACGCTTTATATGTCAGTAATGAAGATGAGATGCACAGGAGTCATGAATGAGACAAATGTGTGCTGGAATCCCACCTTATCCAGTTCAATCTTCCTAGGAATCATGGGAGAAGATGGGCTGTCCAACCCATTCCCCTGACCTGTAACATCACGCAGCACCTGCAATCACACAAAGATACACACACATCAGTGGTTCCCTACAAGTGTAAACATAGTCCATCACACAGGGGGTCCCTTTTGCAAAAGCTATTTTCCTCTTGTGCAATATTGTTTCTGGCAGCAGGATACATCTATTGTGTGTACGTATAATGGATGGATATCCAAGTGTGCGAGCGAGGGACTGTGTTTACTTGGAGCCATTTCTCGGCCTGCTCCTTGCTCTGCATAGCTAACACCAGCGCCTCTCCACCAGGAAGAGAGAATCGGAGCTCGTGCTTCTTCCTCCGGCCATCTTTGGGCACGTAGATGACGGTGCACAGGCTGAGTGGTATGTCAGTGTAGGGTGACTGGTCTTTAGAGCTTTTATAGCACTATAAAACAATATTCAGAGGTTTCCATGTATCATTCATAACATCAAGAAAAATTAAGGCTCATTTTTATCCCTTAGGGCTTTTGGCAGCTCACCTGGAGTCTGTTCTCGCGGATGACAGTGAGTTGTTTGGCCCACTGGCCGAAGCGTTTTTTCCTCAGCAGGAAGGCACAGATATGGCAGTCTCTCACCGGGGCCATAGAGTTCTCCTCTGAGGGCCACTGGTGTGTCAAACGATGGCCTTTCTCTTCCTCTTCCTCATCATATGACTCATAAGAACTGCTTAAGGCATCCGAGTCATTATCTGCAGGAGGAGTAATGACATACTAATACTACTGAGACATGACATCGCTATTTATAGTATCAGGGTTCTCCCGCTTACAGGAGTTTTTGCGTTGTCCATTCACTTGAGTTGTTGGGTAATTGTTCTCAGCATCTTCATAATATCCATCTTCAATGGAATTAGGAGGACTGGAGCTGCCTGTAGATATAAGAGAGATGCATAATGGGCACAATATATTGTGAAAAAAACATGTATAACATCCTCTCCCCAATTTTTGCAAACAATTTTCACATTTAAAGAGTTCTTTTTACCTACAGTGCAAATAAAAAAGCTGGCTTTGAGGAAGGACATTAAGACGAAGTAAAAGCCTTTGCCAAAAGGTTGCATGGCAATGTGCATGAACTAATTGGCAATCCTCTGTGAAGTGAAATTTAGATGTGTGATCTCTTATCTTCTCGCTGAATTGCAATGCAAATGCAAAGTCTTCTTTTAGCATCATTATTAAACTGCTATTGCTTTATTCGAAGCATAAAAACACTCAACTTTTATTTTTTTCCGCAATCCAGGCAATTCCTAAGGAATAAAATTCATTAGGAACTGACTTCTTCATTAGGATTTTTCCTTTTTGAATATACGGTTTCATCTGAAAATGTGTCCCATTAAGGAAGCAAATGGGTTAAAAACTGCTATTCACTTTGAATTCAAGTGGTTCATGTATATAGTGTGAAGATCTGTCGTCAACACTCTGACTCTTGCAAGAACACAAAGTTGTAACATCACTCTCCAAGTTATATTATCTATAGGAATTTATATAGACAATGCCATGTTTTCCAGGCAACAGACATACAGCAACAAGACTCACTGCGGCTGGTGATATATTCTGGCATCTTTCCAGGGCTGAGTGGAACGGCTTCTTCATAGTAATCCTCTGGAGGTGGTGTGTTGGGCAGGGGGGGAGGCGAATCCGCTGTGCTCTGGTCCAAAAAAATGTGGCAAACGATGACTTACTCCATCTGTCTGCCCCATCACATTAATTCACACTTAACATCTGCTTTTCAGTGAGTCCTCAATATCGCAAAGCTATGTGGCTCCGTTCCACCACTCGGCAAGTTAACCCAATAACAAATTATGTGTGACCGCTGCATCCAATCAAAAGCCAAACCCACATGCCACATGGATGACGGCTGAGAAATACATCAGATACTGGCTATCGAGGACTATTGTGCTAATAATGACACACAGACACACTGATACACACAATGAAAAATCTGACCGCTGGAAGAGTGCGCTCTCTTAATAACGGATAGGATCTATGGGGACCTTAGTGAAGGGCTGGCGGTGATGTGACTTTAAGATAACAGCCTGGCTCTGAAAGTGCAATGCAGCTGGAAAGAGAAGTGCAGGTTTCACTGCAGCATGATTAATCTTCCTGCCATATCTCACCATTGCAGAGCACAGCCCTTATTACACACTGACATCAGGGTTAAGGATGCACTATATATTAGCGTTAGGTCTAAGGAGCAGAGCATTAAGGGTAATCCTCTGAGAGAAGATTTCTTACTGGTTTGGGGACAGTGTGGTCGGTGTGTTTTGTCTCTGGCTCTTTCTTCTGATCCTCCATTTCAACTTTCAGGTCCCCTAGGTCACAATCTGTAAAAATGTGAAAACACATTTATGAGTGTAATATTCCAAAATATTGGAGGATGTTGAGAGATGTAAGTCTCATAGATATTCTCAACTTACCGAATGTATCAAAAAGGGATTCGACAAAGCTGGTTCCGTTTCTGTATACTGAGGTGTTCATGTACATATAGTCTTTTCCAGTGACTGCAAAGAACAAGTATGAGAAAAGAAAAAAGCACATGTACGTAGGACAACTGCCAAAAGCTTTTTCAGTCTCATTTATGAGAAAAACAAGGCCTCATTAAGCTGATGTTTATCCCTCTGGTCTTGTCACTTTCTGGTCCAAGTGTTTTTTCTGTCTAAATTGTCTCAAGCATATTTTTCTATTAGTTCTCTGTCAGACTGGTGTTTAATTTGCGATTTTTGTGCAGTTCTCTGCTGGAACAAAACAGTTCATAGCTCAATGTTGTCAATCTGATGAGACCACGGGGCCTAACAGGCTTATCCAAGGTGCTCTACCAGATCTAATTAAGCTGACCAAACTGGTCTACAATCTTGCTCTTGGAGGAAGGAAGGGGGGAAGGAATGTTTAATTAGTAATTTAGTTCAACTCTGCAAGAAGGTGGCTTTCCAGGAACATCACTGGACATACATGGTCTACCAGCTGGTGGTTCAACCACTAAACCCAGTTTGGACCAGATAATAACTATCAGACAATGATTTTCAATATTTACCTGAGGGCTGAAGTTGTCTGAGAAGGTTCTTCACAGCTGTTTTCTTCTCTTCTGTAGCACAGCTCAGGGTCTCATGGTCCAACAGCTTCAACAGCACATTCAACTCGGTCACCAAGAGCTCCATCGCTGAAGGTCAAAGCTCAGGGTTAGAGGTCGATAGAGACCAGACTATACAACTGTAAGTGTTTGTCAAAACAACAGATCAATAAGACCAACCATCAACCCGTCAGCATGAATAAGTAAACGAAAACAAGTGTCAGTTGCAGAGATTTTGGTCAAAGACGTGATAATCATGTATGTCCTATTTGTTATGTTTTCAAAAATACATTAAAATTCACACATAAAATGACTTGACTACACATCGTTTAATATAATCATGTTTTTATTTTTTAATTAAAATTAATTTTTTTTTTTTTTTTTGGTGGAGTATAAATTAAAAAAGAAAAATCTTTTTTTTTTTTTTTGGGGGAACAAAAATTAAAAAAAAAAAATTTTTTTTTTTTTTTTTGGGGGAGCATAAATTAAAAAAGAAAAATCTTTTTTTTTTTTTTTTAAATAACAATATGCAACCTTAAGAACTTTGTGACCCTAACCCTAGATTTTCAAAAGATTTTTATGTTTCTTGATCGTGGGCACTCATTGACACTTTTGAGGAGAGAGGATAGCGGGCTTAAGATCAACTCGGATTTTCATCATTAATCCTCCGTCTCTGACTTTCAAAAGCTTGTAAAGCTAATATGACTGAATCAGAAAGGATCTTGATGCATGGTTCTTTGTAACATTATATTCCACAGAGTGTCTTCAGTATGGACACACATGTCAGCAGACAATATGAGTTATGGGCATAGGGGATGATGACGGGTCAGAAGAATTATACATTGGAACAGGTTTGGAGCTCAAAACTTCATGCTGGGACTCTCAAGCTCTCTTCCAGGTCTCTGTGGGACGAAAACCGCCCTGCTGGAGAAACCAGAAACCCCTGTGTAGAGTCAAAGACGTACCTTCTGATCTGTGGCGAGCTTCCCATCCCACCTAGCAAGCTCACAGCGAGCATCAGAGGAGGGTCCAAGCCCAATAAATACATTCAAAGTCTGACATCTAAGCTCCCTCAAGACAAGTTAAGACAGCGGGTTAACCCCTGGTCTCTTATGTCTAGATTATGCATAGAAGGACTCAATGACATTGCTGTGAGCCTGCATGTTTTAATCTGAAGGAGGCGGGCTGACATCCCTAGGATATCTCAACAGATACTGCCGCCCACAAACTGAAGCTCACACAGTGTCACGCACCAGCTAAACCAGATTTTCTCTTCCAAACCCATTACTAATGATCCGCTACTACTAATGCTGAGTGTTTGAGTTTGAGCAAATGCACGGTCAGCAAATTAGTAAAAACATGTAACCAAAAACCTGGACTGCAAGTATGTTTTGAAGGATGAAAACAAAGACAGCATGAAACAATAAAAAGCATATTTGTCAGCGATCCTAGGCACTGTGTGCCCAGGCAGGAGGTTTGCTGATTTGGAAGGAATCTGACTGTTTTGTTCAAAGAAAGTAATCAAGCCATGTGAACACCTCCTGTCCCAGTGGATACGAGCTCATGGTCAGCACTGCGACCACACTGATCACGAGCAGAAGGCTGGAGGGAGAGGGAGAGGGAGTGTGAACAGGGCTGAACATCCATGTCCATCACACAGCTGGACAATCTGGCTTGGACAGAGGGTCAGCTGAGCCAAAGTATCCACCTCAGGGCCTCTGGGCTCAATATATTAACAGGTGTGGTGGGTCAAGACTCAGATCAACTTCAGCTGTCAGATACTCCACGAGTAATGTATTAGTATATGGAATTCCTTCAAAAGTAGAGAGAGAAAATGCTGAAGTGACAAAAAAAATATATGATTGGATGGATGGAAATTCAACTAAAATGCGACCAGAATGAATCTTAGAATGAGCTAATGATATTAAATATACTCTCGTTCAAAAGTTTGGGGTCTCAAGGCTGCATTTATTTGATCAGAAATGCAGAAAAAAACTGTAATATTGTGAAATATTATTACAATTTAAAATATCTTTCTCTATTTGAATATATTTTAAAATGTAATGTATTCCTGTGATGGAAAGCTGAATTTTCAGCAGCCATTGCTCCAGTCTTCAGTGTCACATGATTCTTCAGAAATCATTCTAATATGGACAATCGTTGCTCAAGAAACATTTCACACATTTTTAAGGAGACAAGAATCATTGTATCATAGTTTTTAATAATTACACACTAAATTACAGAACTGCAATATTACCGTATCGTGAGCCAGATATAAATACTATATTGTTTGGCCTAATTCTCACCCCTGTTCAAATCATCTGTTTTCCAGTAATAGATATATCTGTTTTTCTGCACATTCATGCTGGTTTACCATGGCTACACTCTTTACCAGCATGTTCCTGTAGAAGATCCGCAATGGCAATCTTGGAAGCTGGTCCAAACGGTGTAAGATATTGTGACATAAACACGTTCAGGATTTTTCAAGTATAGAAAAATGTGTGATAGTATGGTTTGAGAAGAGTTATTTCAGCCTCTCGGCTCTCTCTATTTTTCCGTGCTTCACTCAAACGGCCACCACCCTCTTCCACATCCCCATGAAAAACCTAATGAATAATGTGCTTCTAGTCAGATTGTGCTGTGGTCCAGAAAATGTCAAAAAGCTTCAGCATCACATCTCATGGGGAAGGTGAGGAGTTTAAAAGCAAATACTCAAATTCACACAAACACATTCTTACACCCACATGTACAGAAATGACTCATCTGAAATTTGGGTCAGCATACTGCTGCTTTGACAAGAGTGTTTTTTCTTCTTCTTAGATTCACCACAGTTGCAGAACCTTTGTTACTGACTAATGTACTACAAAAAATCTCACTTCCTTTCATCGTGTGTCCCCAGCTGCCGTACAGTCACTCCCACCGGTGTGTAAGTCTGAGTGTTTCTCTATTCAGACTTGTTGACACAAGGCCCCTGTGATCACAAAACGCCTGAGTTTAACTTTGCGTTTTTCCCCTTAACATGACCTTCTCCAGGAGGCTCAGTTGGGTAGCAACTAAAGTGGCACAGTGTTTGCAAGTGTCCAAAATATGCTACATGTGCCGTCTTGGCAAATTATTTAGTGTTAAAGAATTAAGTGTTAAAACCAGCTGTATGGAGTAACACAAGCCATTCAGGGCAGTGTGAAGTATCAGCATAGTAAATGTGTTAGCTGTGCATATAAGCTTGAGTCTTGTGTAAGCCAAGCTGATGATCTAATAGTAACTGAAGTGACAAAGAATTACAGAATAGGCTTCATTAAAGAAAAGAAACACTTGTTTACGGGTAGAATTGTATGCTTCAGGCAGGAAAAAAGGTACAAAAGCTGTCACTAGGGTGGTACACTTTCAAAAGGTATAACTTTGTACCTTATTTACTAATGGGTGCAAATAAGTACCTTAAAGGTGCATATTAGTACCTAAAGTATACATATTAGTACCTTAATGGTACAAAGTTGTATCTTTTGAAAATGTACCACCCCAATGACAGCTTTTGTACCTATTTTCTGACAGTGATATTATTTTACAATAAGATTCAGTTTGTTAATATTAATGCAATAGCTTTGAACATTTTTACAGCACTTCTTAATAATGTTAATTTCTACATATACTAAAACATAACTAAAAATAAACAATACGTTTACATCATTTATTAATCGATCTTAATTTCTACATTTCCTAATACAGTTTACTTTCCATAAATTAGCATTAGTTATATAATGAACAAACATGAATTAAAAAAGTTGTTAAAACAAACAAAAAAAAAAAAAAATTTATTGTAACGTGTTACTGATATTTCCGATGAAGCTAGTTAAGCAATGTAGTCTTGCTAGTTAAGCCAAGTATAGACACGAGCACAACAGCATTACATGCAGAGGACCTGCTTCCAAAACATAACGTATGCTGCTAGTCAAGCTAACTGGGAAAAGTGGTAAACTTAGCTAAAAAAACCAAGTTTAGTTTTATTGAACTAAAATGCCATCATTTGTTCTACAACGACATACGCAAAAAACTGCAAAATCATGCTGTAATTGAAATATATGTGCAGCATTTACTTTGTTTTGGTGTATTTCCCATTAAGATGACAAGAGTCAGGTAAGGTGAGGTTACAAAAAAGATTTAGAAATCATAATATAATAAACAAAAAGTATTCAGAGGGCCGTTAGGACAAGCTTAAAACAACATGAGCACAATGAAGCATATATGATTCCTACAGAGATACACTCTTACATGAGATCAAACACATTTGCGCTTCTCTTTATCTTGAGCTGCACCTGTGGAGGGTCATTTCCAAAGCCAAGCACAACACGGGGCTATGTTCCCATTCTCCTCCAGAGAGCCTCGCATGTGGCCCTCTCTGATAATACCACATCAAAACAGCATAATGGGAACACAGACCGGCGCTCAAAGTCGAATCCAGTTAACCTGCAGGTTCTCTTGAAGGGGTGTTTGTTGCTTTCTTTTGGATCGACCCCTTGCAAGATGTTTTCACCTTTGTCTGCGAGATCTCGCAGGCAAATCAGGTTTGATAATCTATCTGTCTTTCTCACTCACTTGAAAGCACTTTACTGACAGTCGTATTGTTTCAACATAAGCTAAAAGCCATGTTGAGGAATGTAAAGTTGGTGTTGAAAGCTGTTTTTAGAGGACAATGGGGCGTTTTCCCAGAACTGCACCAGTGCTTTAGCACTCAGCACCTCACACATTGCCGCAAAGCGAGGAAACATTCCTCACCTCATTAAAAGTGCAGCCAAAGAGCTTTAAGATGCCTACCAGAGATAGTAATGTATGTCAGTTGTGAAAGCCACAGCGCTCCTCAAGAAAGTTCTAAACACCTTGGTGAGATCTTTTTTTACAAGCGTATTTTGCTTAGACAACAAAAACAACACCTGTTTAAACTTGTACAGTTTGAATTTTATGAGTGCGAAGCTACTATATAGATTTACTCATAAAGCAATACACAAACTCAACAACTAAAATGTCTGAACTAACTAAATACAGCTACAGATTTACACATTTATGATGCTTAATTCAAGTTGGAACGACTAGATTTA